GGTGTGCACCCACCACATCCAGTCTGATGCACTGGCTTGAAAAGCTTACATTCAACAAGGATGAAATTACTCTGAAACACTTCCTTAACAACTTCTAAATATTTTACTATGGGTTTCTGTATTATTTCTGTGCCGATTGGTATTTGTATTATTAAAAACCATTAAGACGCACTTTATAAAGTGTTATTAGCTTGAAAATACCTCACAAGTATTGTCACTGAGATAAGTAGGTTGCTGGACTGCTACTAAGTCATATTTCTAGTACCACTTTATGAGATTTGCTAATATTGTTTTTTTTTAAATGTATTTGGTAGAGGTTCTCACTACGCAGCTCTGGCTCCTAGTGATCTTCCTATTTTCAGCCTCCCCAGTGCTGGGATTACAGGCATGTGCCACCACGCCGACTCGGTGGCTGGCTCAGTGCACGTGGGAGCAGGGTCAGTGTGGCATGTGGTGCCAGGGGTTGAACCCTGGTGCCTGTGCTTGCCTAAGCAGGTGCTTAGTCCACTGAGCTATCTCACCAGCTCCCTCTTATGAGATTTGGAAAGAATGTCAAAATAAAGTCTATAAACTAATAAGATAAACTATCTTTAAATTAGTTACTCAGAATACAAGATATTGGCATGTAAAGTCTAAACAATATTAGCAGAAACACTTCTTTTCAGTGATCTAATAGAAATTAGTAATATACAATTTGCTTTTCCCTTCCTTCTTTTCTCCATTCCCCCATTATAGTTTCTTTCCTTTAGAAGTTTCTTTCCATGTTATAATATCTACTGTATTATTTTGGACTTTATTTACTCTTTCAGATTTTCATACTATGGAGACAATACAATGTTTGCACATGTGGATCTGGCTTGAATATGGTCTCAAGTTGCATCCATTTACCTATAAAAGTCTCCACTTTATTCTTCTTTATGGTTAAGTAATACTCTATTGTATAAAAAGACCATATATTTTTTATCCATTCCTTGGTTGATGGTCATTGGGTTGTTTTCAAGATCTAGCTACTCAAAACTGTACTGCTAAAAAAAATTCTGCTAGGGCGGGCCAAATAGCTCAGTGGACTAAAGTGCCTGCTTACGCAGGTGCAGCAACTGAGGTTCGATCCCCCATGTGCCGTGTAGGCCCTGCCCCTGGGGCAGTCTGAGAGGGCCACTGAGATTGGCATAGTGGTGTGCGCCTGTATTCCCAGTGCTTGGAAGGTTGAAAAACAGGAAGATCACTATAGGTCTGATCTATGTAGTGAGACCCTGTACTAACATACATTAAAAAAATTGTGCTGCTATAAACATAGGTGCACATGTATTGCTGTGGTATGATTAATTTAATTCTTGTGAGAAGATACTCAGAAAGGGAATAGCTAGCCAAATTGGACCTCCAATCCTAGTTTTTTTTGAGGAATCTCCACAATTATTTCCCCAGTGGTTGTGCCAGTATGCAGTCCCACCAACAGTGGGTTCCTTTTACCCTCCAGTCCCTCCAGCATTTGTTATTGGTTGATTTCCTGATAATACCCATTTTTTTTCCAGGGTGAGAAGGAATCTCAGTGTTGCTTTAATTTGTATCTCTTGAATGACTAGTGATGTTGAACATATATATATATATATATATATATATATATATATATATATATATATTTATTTGCTGTCTGTAATGATGCCCCTTTCTGGACTCTTTACATTTGGGAGGTGTGATTTTAGTTATACGTTCTTGTTCAGTTATATGCTATACATTCTTTATATATTCTAAACAGCAATCCTTTGTCTGAGGAAGAGCTGGCAAACATTTGTATTCTACATTGTGGGTTGTCTGTTCACTATGTTGATGGTTTCTCTTGCTGTGCAAAAAAAAAAAAAGCTTTTTAGTAAGATGAGATCCCAGTTGTAGATTCTTTGTGTGTTCCTGTGCCATTAGGGTTCTATTCATAAAACCTGCACTTATGCCTGCACCTATGTCTTCAAGAGTTCTACCTAGACTACCTTCTAGAAAATTTAATATTTGTTTTAATATTTAGATCTTTGATCCATTTTAAATTTAGCTTATACACAAAACTTTTAAAAAAATCCTTCTTAAAGAAACAATGATCTTTTATATTTGGAGCATATAAATACAGAGTATATTGTAAAACACTTTTGTTTGTGTCTTCAATTTTAGTTAAGGCAGTAGTAATGATTAATTTATGTATCAATCTGTAAGGTTATAGTACTCAGCCATCAAATCGAACAGTAATTTGGTTCAACTCCTATTTCCAGCTTATAGGGTGTCCCACAATTACATGAGCTAAATCCTTAAAATAAACCTTTTTAGAGTAGAACAGTGGTGCTTAAGAAGAGCACAGGGGTAGGGGAACAGAGGAAAGTTGCATAACAGGTACCAAAGTACAGTTAGCTAGGAGAAATAAGTTCTAGTGTTCTACAACATAGTAGTGTATCTATAATTTACAATAACTTACTAAATATTTTAGGATTTTGAAACTACCCAATATAAAGAAATGGTAGTTACTTAAGGTAATGGAAATGCTAATTACCCTGATTTTATTATTATATATGGTACACATGCTTTGAAATATCACAATATAAAAAGGTTAATCAAAAATACAGTGTTTAGATAAAAAATGATTGCAGCAAAAGAAACATTACTCCTTACACTATTTCTCTTCACCTAGAACACACTTATCTCATTGTTATTGCCACTTTTTCTGTTTTTTTATGACAGGGTCTTGCTATGTAGCTTAGTCTGACTGTAAATGGACTATGTAGTCCAGGTTGGCCACAAACTTATGCCAATTCCTGCCTCAGCCCTCTGAGTGGTGGGATTTCTGGCACTTGCCACCATGCCTGTCAATTTTTTGCCACTTTCTGAGGAAGTTCTGGAAGTCCTCTTTCCTGGTGTGATCAAAATTGTACTGAATGCTCCTGCTGACTGCCATTTAATAGAAAAGTGGGCTCGTGAAGACATTATGGCAAATGTGTCTTCACCTTCTTCACTGGATCTGCTACCACATGACTTTTGGCTCCTCCCCAAAGTCAAAATGATCACAAGAAGTAAATATTTTGAATTGATTTAGGACTGAGGCAGACAGAATGGTACAACTAAAGATACCTCTTAAAGGATTTCCAGCGCAGCTTCAGGAGCTGGCAAGAATAATGGGGTATGTTTAATGTGAGGGGAATATTTTGAGGGGGATTACTGGCAATTTGTTTTTTCTATAAAAAATTAACAAAAAACCCCCACTCATTGTATTTTTGACCATAGTTTATAAATAAAAATTACAATTATTATGTATCAAACTTTAAAAAATATTAAAATTACATATGTATAATAAGGTTGCTTCTCTGGAGACTCCTGGCTAATTTGGTGGCCAATGGAGATTTAATACCTTCCAGTTATTGTCACACGTCAGATTAATACATCGTTTGTTTTAAGAAAGTCAAGAGTGTAAAGGTTCCAACTACTTGTTTTGTTTTACTTAGTCTAAATGAATATGATTATCAGGTTAAGGACAGCTCAAATTTCCATCTTCTGACAACTCAGGGGCATAGGCAAGGGAAGAAGTACAAAAATAGGACTGTTTTAGAAGCAGAATACCATTGGGACAAGCTTATTTTGTACAGTGAAAGAGAGTGATTATAACACATGGTTATGAAAAGCATCCAGGACATCTAAACAGGTGTGACAGGCACAGCAGTTTATAATTGGTGTGATTGAAAGATGAAGCCCAACTTTGTCAACACACACCAGTGACTCTTCAGTACACAACGTGGCTATCTGTGGCTAGATGAGGTTCTCTTGACATTGTTAAAATATCTGGGCACAACTTATATCCCTGACATCATTTGCTTAAGTCAGTTCCTTCTTCTCAATTTAAAGCTTCTAAATACTTGCATTACTTTCCCCTTCAAATTCCTAATATATTTTATTTACTTTAAAAGGAATATAACAAAGTTTCAAAACAGGTTAGAAGAGTTACAAAAAACAATATATTGCACTTGTTGTCTTTGTAGTAATTGATAATGAGTATAAGATGCAAACATGACATCTCATCCAAACAATACTAGCACAAATCCTTCTTTTCAATGAACTAAGAAAAACTAACTGCATTACTATACAAAGAAAGTATGGGGTATCACACAAGGTTTCCAAAAAAAATTTCATACTTCAAACACTGTCTATAAAATTTAAAACACTGTAAATTTTAATAAAACTGTTGAGATATTCAACATCAAAACAGCCCCTATACTTGTTAAATAATTTTGCTCCAAAAGATCACAAAATGAATTATTAAATAAAAGTTATAAATTTCATGACTTTAGCAGATATGTCTCAAGGCAGACTTGATTAGAGAGATTAGACTTCCTTCACTTTTGTAGTGGAAGTCACATTCATTTTCCTTAGGATACTTAGTTCTCATAATTACTGCTAATAAAAAAGCAAAAAGTAAGAAATATACGGACATATCTAAATAGAAGCTGTTCATATAAATATGTACTTATTAGCCCAAACAATTCTCTCTTTTAAAACTTAATTTGTTGATATCTTGTCGATTCAGTTGTGGTAATTTGTACCTTTCTAGGAATCTGTCCATTTTTTCTGTGTCTTCTATTCTGTGAGAGTAAAGATTCTCAAAGTAACTATTGATAATCTTCTGAATTTTCACTGAGTCTGTGGTAATTACACCCTTTTCATTCCTTATTGCTTGTATTTGAATTTTTTTTTCCTCTTTTTGATGAGGTTAGCTAGGGGCTTATCGATTTTATTTAATCTTTCAAAGAACCAGCTTTTTGCTTTTTTAATTCTTTGAACTGTTTTCTTCGTCTCAGTTGAATTAATTTCTGTTCTAATCTTTATGATTTCTTCCTGTCTTTGGGCTCTCCCACAAAGGACATATGAACATCCAAACAGTTGAGAGCATAATAACCATAAAAAGACGACATTTGTTTTTCTCCTAAAGCCACAGCAATATAGAGTAACATACAAGTCAAATTCGCATTTCTTACTTTAGACCATGAAAGATCAAGGAGATCAGCAGTGTGTCCTTTATATTTGCAAAATGGCCGTTGTCAAAAGGGTGCATTTTTGTCATCTGGGTCTTCCTCAGTTCCACAGCACACCTATATAGACACAGAGATAAATTGTAAAACTGAGGTGTAAAACTAGCAAAACAAGTTTCACACTCTTTACCCAACACCTGTTCTCTCATCAAGTGGTATAATGCTTAATTACTTGAGCCCCAAGAGGAAATGCCCATTTACACTGATCAACTATTTATTACCTCTTCTGTCTAGCTCTTTAACCTACCAAAGATCATTCCTGAAGATATGCTTTTCTTTCATGATCTCTTCCCTCCCTAACAGAGCCCCTCCTTTGTCCTTTTCTGAGCAACTGTTCCTCCAGGAGGGGTGGCCCGGGATGAATCATAATTGGCCTAAGGTAATGAAGTTTAGCTCATTCCCCCTCCCAATGTGAGTGGTTGAGGCCCAGGCATATGCAATAATTTTCATCAATTAGATACAAGGGAAAGTTTATACTGGGTAGGATGGATAAAGTGAAGTTTCAAGAGAGATTTCCTTGCTCTTAAAAAGGGGCTTAAAGGACATTCCTTTTTTGTGCCTTTGAAAGTTGCTGCCTGTATGTGACACCACCTAAGACTGTAGCAGCTACTATATCTTAGGTGGAGGGGAAAAAGCTCAAGGGAACAAAAGAATAGAGTACAAAGCCAGAAGATGGTAGCACAATTTATCCCTGGTGACACTACTGAGCTGCTGAATTAACCACGTCTGGAACCGTCTTATCTCTAGACGTGCTTCATCATTGATTAAGCCATTTTCAGTTGGGTTTCTGCTATTTGGAGCAAAAACCACTTTCACAGAATTAGGTAGAAAATAATGCGATACATGAGCACCATGTATTTGGTTATAACTTGCCATTTATAGTCATTATCTGAATGAGTTTTAGCCTGTCTTTGACATATGTATTAACATTATGAGGATGAAGAAATTAGAGAAAAACTAGGGCTCATACAGGTTAGAATAACATATTAAAGGTCATCTAGTCACTCCAAATAGACACAAAGAAGCAGTATAAGTCCTCTCCAGATTTATCTCTCAGCTGTTTCAGAGGATGTAGCAGGGGCAAAAATATGTAGTATTAGCTATACTTTGCACATCTAGGGAAGAGTGGATAAGATGATGAGGAAGGAGAAAAAAGATTATGGAGATATGCAAGATCATTTGTACTAAGCAATCAAGATAGGTACTTGGAAACCACATCAGAAAGAGTCTACAATTTATGGCTTAAACATTCAGCTATATCTATGTTTTAATTATTAAGTTTACTGCACAATTTAGATATTCATAATGATCATTTTCATCACAGGGAATTTGTACCTATACATGATATATCTTGACTCTTTTTTTTCCATTCCCCTCCTCTCCTTTCAACCTCTCTTCTAATCCTTAAAGAAAAACTGTTTCTATTTCTTCCTTCTGTTCCTATCTTCTCCTCTGTCCCCCTTTCCTTCTGAACAATTCCTTCCTATTTCACAATTTCTATTATACACTTTAGTTCTCATTTACACTTTCATTTCCTCACACCAGAGAGAAAATGTTATATTTATACATTCGAGTCTAATTTCACTTAAGAGTACAATCTCCATTCATTCAGCTATCAATGTCTCAAGGTTATCCTTCTTTATGGCTGAGCAATACTCCATCATATAAAAAAGTCCCCTTTAAAAATCTATTCAGTGCTTGATGGAACTTGGGCTGCTTCTAAGATTCGTTTATGCATCATTCAAGTATGATGTGCCTAATTCTTTTGTGGGGAGGGTACCAGGAATTGTACTCAGGACCTTGCACTTGCCAGGCAGGCTCTGTGTCACTGACTTATAACCTTGGCACCAATGCATTTTCTAAAAATGATTTCTATTATTTTATTTCATTTTAACTTATTTGCTACAGGCTCACTATATGCAGCTTGGACTCCTAGTAATTCTGGCTCAGCCTTCTCAGCACTGGGATTATAGATGCATACCACCACACCTGGTTTTGGTGACCTGCTCCTCATGGGGCCGGCACAGCATGCAATACCCGGGATCAAAACTGGGTCATTGCGTTTGCTAGGCAGGTGCTTACACCACTTGGCTATCTCTCCAGCCCAGCACTGATGCTTTTAACTCTTTGGGGAAGATACCAAGAAGATGAATAGCTGGGTCAAATGGGATTTTGAGAAATTTCCACACTGATTTCCTTAGTGGCCGCAATATTCTTCACTCCTATCAACAGTGGAAAAGGGTAACTTTTTACCCCATAGACCAGCCAATATTTGTTATTGGTTGATTTCTTTTTCTTTTTCTTTTTTTTTTTTTTTTGTGGGCCCGGGGAGTGAACTCAGGCTCTTGTGCTTGCCAGGCAAGCGCTTATTCTACTGAGCCATCTCCCCGGCCGGTTGATTTCTTGATAATAGACTTTCTTCTTGGAGTGAGAGGAAATCTCAACACTGTTTTAATTTGCATCTACTGACTGACCAGAGATATTGAACATTTTTTTCATATGCTTATCTGCTACTTTTATTTCTGCCTATGAGAAATGTCTATTCATTTCAAATGCCCACTTTTGGGCTGGATTGGGGAGCATCTGATTGCTCACAACTTTTCTATATTCTAGACATTAGTCCTTTGAGGAACACCTAAGGTTTTTTTTCTCACTATGTGGTTTGTCTTTTCACTCTGTTGGTGATTTCCTTTGTTGTGTAAAAGCTTTACAATAAGATGAGAACACAGTTGTTGATTCTTTGCAGCATTTCCTATGCAATCAGGATTTTGGTCATGAAATTTTTGCCTATGCCCATGTCTTCAAGAGTTCTATCTGTTCTTTATTCCAGTGGACTTAGTGTTTCTGTTTTAATATTTAGATCTCTGATCCATTTCTATGTTAGTTTAGTACATGGTGATAGACAAGAGAAGCAATTAAGCATATGAAAAAGAGGGAATCATCAGCATTTATAACAAAGAGAAGCCAATACATATCAGTTATAACCATTAACGTAAATGATCTCAATTCACTAATCAAAAGAACAGCCTGGCAGAATGACTCAACAGTATGTTGGAATAAACAAATCCATTTAACTCAAAAAGAAATTCACAGCCTGAAAAGCAAAGGATGGAAAACAATATGCCATGCAACAAGAACTCAGAAAAGAACAGGTAGCTATTATATTTTCAGACAGTGTGAACTTCAAACCAAGAATGATAAAAAGAGATAAAGGTCACTCACTACATACTTTTGAAAGAAAATTCTAAGAGACAAAAATTATAAATATATATGCACCAAAACAGGTACACCCAATTGTATAAAACAAATATTAACAGACATGAAAAAAACAAATACGTATGAACATGATTTTAATGGAGGAACCTCAATACCCCACTGTCACAAATACACTGATCAACTAGACAAAATATCATCAAAGAAGTATCAGAACTGAACCAAACCTGTGAAAAAAATGGACTTAGTAGATGCCTTCAGACAGTTCTACCCCACAACATCAGAATATACATTCTTCACAACTGTGCATGGGACATTCTCCGAAATAGACCAGATATTAGGTCATAGACCATGCTTAAGGAACTGAAATTATCCCATGCATATAATCTGATCATAGAACAATGAGACTGGTAATCAATGGCAAAAGAAACCATAAAAATTCCATAAATATAAGGAAATGACTTAATGCCCAAATGAAAAAGTGATCGGTCACTGATAAAATTAAAGAAATTAGACAATATCTATAGTTAAACGATAATGCTAATACAACATACTGGAGTTTATTGGGACACAATGAAAGCAGTACTAAGAGGGAAATTTAAAGTGGTGAATTCACATATAAGGAAAACAGAATGAGCTCAAATAACCTAGTATTGAACCCCAAACTTCTACAAAAAGAACAAGATATACCCAAAGCTTAGGGAGGATACAAAGTTCAGAGAAGAAATTAATACAACTGAGACTAATACACACACACACACACACGCACACACACACACACACACTCAATGAATCCAACAGTTTGTTCTTTGAAAAATTAAATAAAATTGACAAACCCTTAGCAAAGCTTATTAAAAAGAGGAAAAACTCAAATTCATGTGATTGGGCCTGGGAGATAGCTCAGAGGCATAAACACCTGCCTGGCAAGCACAAGGTCATGAGTTTGATCCCCTGTACAAAAAAGAAAAGAAAAAGGTATAAAATTCATGTGATTAGGAATGAAAAGGGTAAAATCACAATGGATCCTGTGGAAATCCAGAAGATAATCAATACCTACTTTAAGAACTTTTAGTAAGATGGAAAACACAGAAGAAATGGACAGAGTCCTAGATACATATGAATTACCAGTTAAATCAAGAAGATATAGGGGCCAGGGAGATGGCTCAGTAGAATAAGCGCTTACCTGGTAAGCACAAGGGCCTGAGTTCAATCCCTGGTTCCGCAAAA